AACTATCTGTCAACCCTAAGATATCTCACTTGTATTCTTCCACAATGGTCCAAAATCGAATGTCTTCTTTATTGTTCTTGAAAATGGCGCATAGCATTTTACAAACAACGGGTCTTACTCGCTAAAATACAACTAGTCTTAAGGTCTAGTTACTTAGCCTCCTTATGGTCTAATCACAAGCACATGTGTATACCTAAAGCCCTATTCACATACGCGTACGTGCCTACGGTCCTACAACTCGGCCGTCCTGACATATAGAATCTCCTGATTCTATGACGACAAGTTTATACAGTGTTACGTTCATGCGCAACTAACTTTAACATTTTATAGTTTTGTCGTGGCTTTGGTTTTCTTATGATCGTACCGCGGTTTTAAGTTCGTAACTGACCAAATGCCTTTGTAAGGTATCTGTGTCTGTTGAAACCCTTCTACGTCTTCGACAGCGTAGCGGTCGTTTTCTAAAATTTTTGATATTCTATATGGTCCCTTGAATTTGGGTATTAACTTGCTGGACGCTCCTATTTGTGAGCTGACATTGGAAACCACTACTTAGTCGCCAACTCTGAACTCTCGTGGCTCTTGTCGCTTGGCGTCTGAATACTTCTTATTGTAACTTTGCGCTTTTCTTTGAACTGCCTCCGCTTGATCTCTAACTTTTTCTATTGCTACTGGGCTTGACGACTGCACTGTTTCTAACACATTTTCTCTGAGACTGTCTATAACTTTACCCTTTTGTGCTACTCCGAACAGTAATACACTAGGTTGCTCTTTTGTTGCTTTGTGCACCGTGTTGTTCATCGCATGCTCTACTGATTCTAACACTTTGTCCCACCCTATCTCTTTCTCGGAATCTACCATCTTTGCAATCATCGGGCCTAAGCTTTTGTTAACGATCTCGGCTTGGCCGTTTGCCTGGGGAGAACTTGTCGCAACTTTGATGTGCTCAACGTTGTTGTTTGCTAAAAATTCCTCGAATTCGTTTGAAGTAAAGCTTGTCCCTCTGTCTGACACTATGAACTTTGGTCTACTGTACGCTCTAAAGTAGTCCTTTAACGCTATAACTGCTTCTTTTGACGCTGTCGTTTTCGCGGGGTAGAGGCGGACAAATTTCGTGAAGGCATCTATTATTACTAAAATGTGCTTATACTTTGTAGACTTGCTATGGATCGGTCCGTAGTGGTCAACGTGTACCATTTCGAACGGTTTGTTTCCCTTCGGTATCATGTGCAGAAGTCCCTCTTTTCTACCACTTTTGCTGGAAAATGCTATACATTTCAGGCAGTTCTCTATGTGGGCAACTGCTTTCTTTCTGACACTTGGGAACCAATAGCTCTTTCCTATGGATTCCACAACTTTCTCTACACCTAAATGCCCCATTTCGTCGTGGTACTTATACAAAACGTGGTTTTCCATGGACTCTGGTACATAAAAAAGTAGATTTTTACCCTTCCTGTATACTATTCCGTTTCTCATTTCATAGTGACTGTTCTCGCTAACTTCTAACTCCTTTTTTATTTTCCCTACTTTCTCGTCTCTACTTTGGCATATGATGAGATTTTCTTCAAAAGTATTCGTGTGAACTACCAGTATATTATTTATTCTACTTAGTGCATCTACGTGTTGCATTCTTTTACCGGCTCTATGTTCAAGTTCATAATCGTAGTTTTGCAGTTCCAACGCCCACCTCGCTATTCTTGGGCTCATGTCTTTCTTATTAAGCGTCAAGGTCAGCGAGTTGCAGTCGGTTATAATCTTGAACTTTATGCCTTGCAAATATATTCTAAATCTTTTTAATGCGTAGACAATCGCTAGAGTTTCTAACTCGAAACTGTGGTATTTAGATTCGGTGTCCGTTGTACGCTTTGAAAAATAAAACACTGGGTGTAGCTTCCCGTCTTTCTTCTTTTGCAGTAATATCGCCCCAAACCCTAAAGCACTTGCGTCACAGTGTAACTCTGTTGCGTCATTTGGGTCATAGATTGCCAACAGTGGTGACGCCTTCAATTTTGTTTTAAGACTGTTGAAAGATTCTAACTCTACTTTGCCAAACTGAAATTTTGTGTCTTTTTTCGTAAGGTCGTGGAGGGGCTTAGCTATAGTCGAAAAATCCTTAATAAATCTTCGGAAATATGAGCATAAGCCTAAAAAGCTTTGAACTTCGACGACTTTAGTCGGAACGGCAAAGTTTTCTATTGCGTTCAGCCCCTTCTCGTCCGCCTGTATACCTTCACCAGTAATAACATAGCCTAAATATGACACCTTTGACTGCAAAAACTCACACTTATCTAAACGCAGCTGTAAGTTATTCTGTACAATTTTTAATAATACTTTTTCTAATATTTCGATATGTTCTTTGATGCTCTCCGTTGCTATCATGATATCGTCGAGATAAACTATAACCTCGCCCTTGCGAATCATCTCTGAAAAAATTTTATTAATAAACTTTTGGAATGTTGCCGGCGCATTTTTCAATCCGAACGGCATTCTCAAAAACTTATATTGCCCTAAAGGTGTAGTAAACGACGTATACTTTATCGAGTCTTCGCTCATAAAAACGTGAAAAAACCCGTTCTTTAGATCCAGCTTTGTGAAAAATTTTTTGTTCGCTAACCTGTCTAACAAATCGTCAATAAGTGGCATCGGATAACTATCTTTTGCCGTAACTTTGTTTAATTTCCTGTAGTCGACGCACAAACGAAGTTCACCCGTTTTCTTTTTAACTAACACTATCGGTGACACAAACTCTGACTCACTAGGGCGTATGTAACCTTTTTGTAAGTATTCGTCGATTATATTCTGCAACTCTATCTTTTCTTTGTACGAAAGTCTTCTTGGAGCACATGCGAACGGACTACTTTTTTCTAACACAAGTTTCATTTCTTTTCTGACCATTGGCTCGTCATGCTTTTTTGAGTTTACGTAAATTCTTCTGAAAATCTCCTGAAAAAGTATTTTATCATCGTAGTTGACTTCATCGCCCACTTTGAGGTCCATAGCTGCTTTTTCGCACACTTCTATTGCCATAATTTCGTTTATGGCCTCATTAACCTCACAATCTTCGACCGCATAATTGGCGTTGCTCATGTTTTCGCACGTGCTCTTCCTTGTTGTACCTAAATTAAAAACTTTCTCAACTTTGTCTACTTTCTCAACTTCGTCCAACTTCTCAACTTCGTCCAACTTCTCAACTTCGTCCACTTTCTCAACTTCGTCCACTTTCTCAACTTCGTCCACATTGTTCACACCATTAGCTGCCTCTACCTGTATTACCCTATCCATAAACTCAACCTTTCCAATTTTTAACTTAGCGTCACTTGCCTCAATAAAATCTCTACCCAGTAGCACCGAATAACCAATACACCCATTAGGAACCACTAAGAATTCAACTAAAACGTCTTTATTCAAAACTTTGACGATACATTTAACTTTTCCAAGTATATTCAAAACTGATTTGTTTAAACCGTAGTACGAATCATTTACTTCATCCAAATTCACTCCTGACGGTACCACAACTTCTTTTATTAAGCTAACTGGGCTGCCTGAATCAACTAGACATTCTATAAACATACAAGTATTAACATGTGCTACATACAATCTAAAATAACTTACGAAAGTATTCTTCTCCCTCTTGTACTGCTTGCAGTCTGTTGCGTAGTGACCCTTCTCTCCACATGCGTAGCACGATCCGGCATCCCGCTTAGGCTTTCTGCAATCTTTGGCATAGTGGCCGGAACAGTTGCAATTGTAGCATCTGAAGCGTTCATCGGAGCGTGGTTTTGCTGCCGGACGTTCTGGCAACGTGACTGATCTGAACGCCCTGACGACTTCGTTTGCCGACGCAAAACTGTGTAGCCTTGCTTGTGTACGTAGTTGCCGGTCTGGTATTCCTTCGATGAGGTAGTCGGCGAACTCTTCATCGCTAAGGCTCAAGTCGCTGCTCAATGTGCATTTGTCATTATAGTAGCTGATGAAGCTTTCTTCAGGCACCCACATCCGCTTTTCGAACTTACGCCGGCGTTCGAGTTTTCTCTCGTTTGATGCAAAAACTGTCTTCATATCACGTAGCAGCTCGTCTGCGCTCTTATGGAACGTTGATTTCGCGTTATACCACGCTAAAGCGGCGCCCTTTAAATTTAAGTGTACGGCTACACACAGCATCGCATCGTTGGCTTTAAAAATTTCGCGATAGTGCATCACCTGGTTATACCACGCACTAAAACCATCGCCGCCATCGTAGGTTGGTATAACCTCTTTTAATGTCTCAAATGGGATGCCGTCTTCTGCTTTAGTCCTGCTCGCCATTGGCCTGTTCTGCTCCCACTGTGCCTGCTGAAGTTTAAGCAGTTTTATTTCCTTCTCAAGCAGTTCAATTTTCCGGGCCGCTGCTTCGGCGTCGCCGTCGTCACGAATAGCGGTTAACTGCCCTGCTGTACGGTTACTTGTGCCGCTATTTTCTTCGGCGTCTCTAACTGGACGACTTCCGAAAGCGCCGTTACGGACGTACGCTACACCGCTTTGCACATATACAGGGTCGTCGTTATCGATCACCATTACATTACCGCGCCGTTGTGCATTTTTGCTCCTCAATACTCTGCCGTTGTTCTCGTCGTTGCTTCTGCCGTTGCTCACACCGTTGCCGTTCAAGTTGCTATCGTCCTCGTCGTTGTCGTCTACGTTGTCCTCCACGTTGTCCTCTCCGTTGCTCTCGCCGTTGTCTTCACCGTCGTCTTCGCCTTGAATACATTGCTCGGTGGTCTTTGCGTCATACCGTTGCTCACCCGCTTTGTCATTGCCTGGGCACAATCCTCGAGCTTCGGCGGAAAGCTCGCTCAGCCTAGCCGCTAACGACGCCTTTGCGCCGCTCGCATTGATGCCCACGGCCGTGCACCAAGTTTTTAATTGCAATAGCGAGTATTTTTCCGCGTTCACAGCTTCGCGATTCATCGTAAAATTATTTGCTTTCCGCGCTACTTTGATATTCGAAAACTAACTTTTACTTAAATTTGGTTCTAAGACCACTTCTGATGAAATATATATCAGGTGGCAAAATAACTAAATACAACGCGGCCGTCGGTCTCGGTGTCCAAAATCGAATGTCTTCTTTATTGTTCTTGAAAATGGCGCATAGCATTTTACAAACAACGGGTCTTACTCGCTAAAATACAACTAGTCTTAAGGTCTAGTTACTTAGCCTCCTTATGGTCTAATCACAAGCACATGTGTATACCTAAAGCCCTATTCACACACGCGTACGTGCCTACGGTCCTACAATATAAACGTTTAATAGGGTAGAAATTGTGAAATTATTTAGCTTTAGCATGTATAGTCGGCCAGAGACAATTGCTGAAAACTGCAACTAATCGTGAAAACTTACAATAAAAGCAATGTAGATGAAAGTACTAGATATTATTTTTAAAACTAGATCCATATATAAAACATTTTACATCATTTATTTGAAG